AAGTGCCTCTGCAAAACTGCATCTTGGCAGAAGTTTTGAAGAGTGATGGGCCAAGTGAATAAGCAACTATCATTATTATTATATGCTCATCGCCTAGAGTAGGACTTGGTGATCATTCGATTCCTACTAGTAGCTCCCAGGCAGCAACATTTGGGCTGGCCCCCTGGCCCTTCACCCACACTTCCATGCTCAGCCCAACCTCTTGTCCAAGCCTCCTCCGAAAGGTCTTGGTGTCTCAACGTGCCCTCATTCCCATTTGTGTGCTTTCTCATTGCCTCAGCCCCAGGTGCTGAATGAGGAGCAGGGAGAAGGGAAAAGCAGTGATTGCTCCTGCTGATTGTAGTAGGATTTTGCCCAAGAAAGGCAGAATAAATATTTCCACGGATAAGTAAATTTTACAGTCTCATCTTCTTACTGTCTGTATTAAGAACTTCATGTCTGAGTCCAGAGTTCAGATGATTTCTTCCTCTCTCTGTTATACTCACTGTTTTATCATTCCTCAAATTCATTATTAACTGCAGAAAAGAAAAAAAGTAAAAGCAGTTTCACTGTTGTACAAGACACCTAACCCAACCTCAGGCCTCTTCTCTCAAGGGCTCTCCAGACTGTCCAGCTTTACACTGAACACCCTTTATTTTGGGTTTAATAAAGCTTCATGTCAGCTCCAGACTGAACCTTAGACTCTGTCCTTGCAATGAGATAACTGGTTATCTGGGAGCCAAACTCAGCATTTGGTGCAGCAACATGAAAAAAGAAAAGAATACGGACAAGGTATTTTATCTTCAAGAGCAGATAGGGAAGGAATAGAGAGGGACAAACAGCAACTTGGCAGCATTCTTCTGTTTGTGGTTTTGGTTTTCTGTGTTTGGTTATTGGTTTGTTTGGTTTTTTTTAATCTGTGATTAGTGTTCAGACAAGCATGGAAATTGCAGCAGTAAATAGACTTTGGATGGGTTTTGATTTCCTGAATCAAGGCTAAATTAAGCATTCATACACAGAGAGTCTCCCTTGGAGTCTGGAAGTTGAGGGGGGCTGCCCAGCATGTGCTGGGCGCGCAGCCCCTCGGCACCGGGGAGACCCAGTGGGAAGTACCACGGCCGATCGCTGCCTTCCTCTTCTGGCACAACCTGATTGCTCTGTGAAGCCGTCCTGGCAGAGACCATGTCTTCTCTGTTAGCACCGTGCCTACCACGACATGGCTGTTTGGAAGCACTGTGGGCACTACTGCAACGTCAACAGCTGTGTGTGACAACAAATAATATTAATTACAAATGCTTTCTCTGGCAAGAGCCAGAGGCAGTGCTGCGAGCAGCCTTGTGGGATGTGTTGGACCGTGGAGCCTTCTGAAGTGACTTACTCTGAGCATTGAGCTTCGCTGTAGCAGAAACCCAAGTTAAGTATCACAAACGTGACTACACTGAAGAGCTATTAGGTATTTAAAGGCATTAAAGGAATAGATAAGTATTTGAATCATTGCCCAGGCTTTTCTTGACCACCATGTATGACTTCACGAGGTATCTGAGCAAAGAAAGGCTAATTGGCTACCAACAGGGCACTGCCTATCAGCAGGCTTGTGTTGTTTCTCTGTTGATTATACTGCACATCAAAATGCTTGTTATGACCACAGATACTGTGCTTTTTGCTACTTTCTTTAAAAAAAACAAAGCAGATTTTACTCAGCAGGAGGAATGTCATATAGAAATTTTTTTTCTCGGTGTTTTTAATTTTTGTTTACTCAATGTCCTAAATAATCAGACAGTAGAAGGAAGTGTGGCTGCAACCAAGATGTAAACTCATAGAGTGATTTCAGATTGAAAAAGAATGCATTAAAATACTGTATGTAAGATAGACAGGGCATGTAGTGAGATGTAGCATCAATTATTAGGTCAACCGAGAGAACGAGAAGTAACAAACCACGTCCTTAAAAGCAGCACTCTATAAGCTAATTTGCTTGTTATCATACTCAACTACTCAACTGACGAGGATGAAGGGGAGCAGAATACTGCAAAGCCATTGCTGCAATATTCCACTTCATGAAGACACCATTTCCTCTGGTCAAACCAGAAGATGACCAGAAGGGCCATGTGCTAATCATTGTCTGCAGGATGCTGGATTGCGTGTTAGGAAGGACACATCTACCTTGGACGTAAGCAATGTCTCCTCCCGGGGCAAGGAGTCAGTCAAAAGAAAGGATGCATGGCAAGGGTGACAAGGAAAAGATATCTGTGATTTTGCCATGGGTTTGCCCCTCTTTGATGAGTTACAATGGTCTGAGAAGGAATCCACTGGCTGATGAACGTTTGCATCCTGTGGCCAGAGCAGTAGGGACTGAGCACGTCTCCTGGCCTGGCAGGCAGGGACTGGCTCATGAGGAGCTGAGCTGGTGCCACCAAAAGCAGAGGGCTCTCTGACCTGCCGTCCTCTTCCCTGCCTGTCTCCTCTGGGCCCGGTGGCTGACTCGACCACTTGGCAGGTCTTACCCTGGGGCTGATTCAAGTCGCTAATTTGGAAGAAAATAGTCCAATTGCTGCTGTTGGTTTTGGCTGGGTTAATTTTCTGTGGGTCAGTGAGCTGAACAGTCTTAGAGAAGATCCCACCACAAGCTCAGTCTACTCCCCTATGCAACTTCACCCTTTGCTGGAAGTCATTCCCTGTGTAATTTGGGGAGGGGGCTGAGGACTGTTCTCGCCTGCTCTGTTCTCGCCTGCTTAACTAGCACACCTGTGTTGTGAAGCCCTGTGTGCAACAGAAAAAACCTTCAGCACTTCTCAGCCCCGCTGCTGGACGTGGTTGTGACAGCACTTCTGCGTTTCATCAGTGGGTGCATACTGGGGCTTTGTGGGTTTTCCTGGTTTCAGGGAATACCTGGGAGAAAGGGAACTGAACACCATCAGGGTGAGAATTTCCTTGGCCTACAGTGATTCCTTATAACACATAAACAACTGAAAAGGAGCAAGATGGGCTCATATCGTTGGAGTGAAAAATCTTACCAAAGTCTCTGGGCTCCTGAGAAACATGCCAGTGCTGATTAATTGGAAATTCTCCCCAATTAGTTCCTGCAAACACCCTTCAGCAAGGACAGACACCACTAAGACACAAATAGAAGTGAGCAAATGTTTGCTGGCATTTTTTTTAAGCATGAAGTACACAGCTGTGTGCCTGAATGTGACATGTAGGTGTCTGTAAGCATCTAGTAGTCATCCAAAAGTGCTGGGTTAGCCATGTTTCAGCTTCATTGCTGTGGGCAACAGTCACTTAAATTGGAATTGGTGGTGCTGAGGAGCCTGGTCCTTCTCCACAGGGCTCGCTTCAGGGTGCCTGTACCCAGCACAGCTGCTGACAGGCAGAAGGAGGGGACAGTGTCACCGTCAGCACGCTCTGCTGTAATTCGGTGAGGCTGGCTCATCAAAGCCCTAGCAAAATCTGTATCAGGGCCAGTGGCAGCAATCAGCTTGTCTCATGGGCTTTGCAATTACCCTTGAGCCTGGTCCTTCTCCACAGGGCTCGCTTCAGGGTGCCTGTACCCAGCACAGCTGCTGACAGGCAGAAGGAGGGGACAGTGTCACCGTCAGCACGCTCTGCTGTAATTCGGTGAGGCTGGCTCATCAAAGCCCTAGCAAAATCTGTATCAGGGCCAGTGGCAGCAATCAGCTTGTCTCATGGGCTTTGCAATTACCCTTCCCTTTCCTCCAGCAATGGCAAACGTAAAGCTGTGTTCAAAAGCTCTGAAGATGCGTGGGAGTCTGTGCGTGCCGCTGCAGGTGCAGAAGCAGGATGGATGACAGCTTGCAAAAATGCTCTGCGTTCTCAAAACAGCAGTTCTGCTGTCTTATTAGGCTTACAGTGTATTCAGAACTTGGATGTGGTCTTGAGGAAGATGCTACTGTAGCTAAATACATGCATGCAGCAGGCCCTGCTGTGCATGGCACTGTGCAAATATGGGTCTGCATCTACAAAGGGATCATGGTGCTTCTTAAATACCATCCAACTCTAATCAGGTTCAAAATCTAGGTGCTAAAAATCTTTGCAAACCTTCATGGAGGCCAGTATGGTCCTCAGAAAATTCATATCTGCTGGGCAAGTCCCAGACATGTCTGCAGAGCTGCTACTTCCCTCGCCACGGTCTGGCTCGCTGGCAGTGCCCAGGCTGGAGATACGCTCTAGATAGCACATTGGTGTGAGCCCTGTGAGACCCACTGCCACACACTGGGAGGTCAAGGTAACAGGGGATCCACCTGGATTGTTCCTCAGCAGTTCCTGCTGCCCTGCCTTGGTGGGTCGTGCTGGTGTGCACGTCTCTGTAGGCACTTACGTCATCAGTGCACCGGAAAAGGGAAAAAGCTGTGTGAGGACACACTGCGGGGAACTTGAGTAACCTGAAGAAGTCCTGGTCATTAATGAGCAACAGTCTACAGTCAAGTTTTGACACAGGGTTTCTAGTAATAGAGGAGTATGCATCTATTATGAGACGTTTTCCGCTTATTTACTCTTTGTGAATTCTCTGGTTGCAGTTTTTAAAACTACTGTGCAAAACTATTAACATTATCAATGAGTCATATGAACAAAAATGGTGATGGGCTCTTCAGAGTTTGATGTAGCTTGTCTTGTTGATAAGAAATGAGAAGAAGGAAGAGCTCATTGCTTGCAGTTTCTTCTTCTCAGTCCCCTGTTCTTGGGGCCAAATTTGTTCATAAAGGCCTAAAATTTATGATGGGATGGCTCAGCTTCTAAAAACATATGCAAATGTTTCATCCAAGCTCTGGATTAGCTGGGCAGTGTCAACATTGCAGCGCATGCCTAGGGGAAAATAATTCAGTGTTTCAAAAGGGGCCTTACATGGTTATTCACTGACTCTTCCCCCAGCCCCCTCGTGAAGAATCATGGACAGAAAAGTATAACATAAGCTCAGAAATGTTTTGCATGCTACCTTATAGTGCTAATTAAATGCAGATGATATAAAAGAACAGTTATTTACATATCTAAATCTCATTCTCCTCCAGGCCCTGCAATTCCTGTTGGGGTGGATGTGCAAGTTGAAAGCTTGGACAGTATTTCGGAGGTTGACATGGTATGTAATCCTCTTTTAAGCCTCAATTATTCCTAGTCATAAAAACTCCCTCCCACTTGAAACCTATGGATTTCAAATTATTGGTCAGATGAAAGTAATGGCAGCATTTGGCAAATTCAAAAAGGCTGACACTCAGAACTAAAGACTTGATAAAACCAGGCGATCAAAGGCTTATCTCTGTATCTTCAGATAAAGATTAAAAGTATGAAGGAAAAAGGGACCTTAAATGGGAGAACAATCACTGCTATGAAGGATCTATCACAACCAAACCCATAAACAGCTGCGTACGAAGGTTTGAAGGCATATGGTGAAATTCACGTAAGCCGCACTTACTGCAAGAGCTTTCTTCCTTAGGGAACCATTGAGTCCATTTGTTTTAAATGCACGATTCTGGGAAACGCATTAGAAAATTAAGTTGGCAATGTAAACGAGAAGGAGCTGCTCCTGCTTCTTCATCACTGGGAGTTACCTCACTGAGGTGCGTGAGTGGGACCAGCCTGAACTGCCTCTGCCAAAGTGGGATGTGGTGTGGGGGAATAGTCTTTCAATCACTGATGATGCTGTTCAGGAAATTTGCACCAAGTTCAACAGTGATTTAGTATCTTTATTTTTTCATTAATTAAAAAAGGGGAAGGAATACATGCAGTTGTTGACCCTCAACATGTTTCAAGGTGTTCCCAGCTAAAGGAGTGGTCACAAGCATTTTCCTGTTTTGTTTTTGTTTTTGTTTTTTTAATTTATTTTAACTATAGAAAATGGCATAAAAACACTGGAAAGAGAAGTGGAAAGGAGAACATAGGGGAGAAGAGGAAGCTTCTTGATTCCTTCTTCTTTCTACCTTTTCCTCCCTGTTTTTGGGCACGTTCTCTGGTCTAGGCAAGACATGAAGACTTAAAGGAAAAGCTTTAGGCTGATCAGTTTTTATTGTGGTGCAATTACACCTACATTAAAAGAAGGGAGCTTGCCTGCCTAGATATTGAAAGAGAGGGTTTGGGGGGATGCATGCAATGAAGCGTGTGGAGGGAGCTTTCAGCGCAGGAAATGGCTCTCGCAAGGAGACTTGGGGCTCTAATATATCAAGATAATGTTGTAGCAGCAAAAAGACCTAATTAGTGCAAGTAAATAACTTGCAATGCTTTCTGTCAGGAGCATCTGATTTCAACAAAAATCTTGCCCATCCGAAAGCTTTGAGGGCAGCTCTCTCTCCTTTTGCCGCAGACAGCTCCGCAGTCCTATTTTCCCAGCAGAGGACAAGTACTTCCCACAGCAGTTGCTGATTTGTATTTGGGGTGGAAGAATGTTCTCCCAGGACAGTCTGGGTTACGCTGGTTTGTTTTTCCAGCAGTTTGTCCCAGTGTGGGTGTTCGTGGAAAGGAAGGCGGGCAGTAAGCTGTCTGCATGGCCAGGGGAGCCGGGCTGGCTGTGCCTGCACCGGGGTGCCCGCCTTGAGCCCCGCTTTGCCCCCCCGCCGCAGGCAGGGCTGAGCTGCAGGCAGGGCCGAAGTGCAGGCAGGACTTCTTTCAAACTGCTCTGGAGGGTTAGTGGCCTTGGAAACTGGGTACCCTCGGTCGGGTAACCTTTGCCTACCGCTGCTCCAACAGGCATCTGGTGCCCCAAAGAAGCACCAGGCTGAAGCTGGCTGCTGCTGTGTGCACTGGCGAGGGATGCTCTCGAGGCTGCCCGGAGCGTGGCCCAAACATGAAATGTGCTGCCAAAAGTGAGGCACTTGTGTATGCGCCTTCGCTGTGCCTCCAGCAGGTACTATCGTTCTCTCAGTTTGTGGCAAAACTTGTTTCCTAAGGGATTTTCCTACTCATGAGTGGTGAAGTGAACCCCTTTTCTTGGTTTGCAACTAGCGTGTGTGCTGGTCAGAAAGGAACAAGCTGCCAGTGATTGCAAACTGCCTCGTTTGACTCATGCCACGAGAAAACATCCATAAGTTGGATTTTGTACTTAGAAGCTGTTGTCAGCTGCCACTTGGGCTTGATGTTTGCAGCACTTGGTGCCCTGTGTGTTGGCTATCGGAGGCCTCTTCGGAGAGAGAAGGGTGCTGAAGGAGAGAGAGGAGAGGGTTCCGGCCCCGTGGGGTGGGGAAAGGGCCGCACCTGGGAAGTGGTGTGGCCCTTCCCGCCCTGTCCCCACAGGCAGTCTCCATGCCCCCGCTATGGTGGCTGTAAGTCATGCCGGGGGTGCCTGGTTGATGCCACATGGGTCCCTGTCCCCCTGTGCTCCCAGGATGGAGCTGCTCAGAGGCACTCTGCAGCCGCAGCCTCGGGCTGCCTGGCTCTCCTCTTGCACCACGGCCAGAGGGCTGACCAGGGCTGGTGACCCTGAATTGCCAGGCTCGTTTTCACCCCTTTTTTTCCTTCTGGTGTAAATGGCACTAACTCCTAAGAAATCCTCAGTTGTGCCTCTTCCTTGCTTTCCTTTTTCCCAGCTCTGGTCAAGCTGATATGCTTTCCTCGTCCAGCCCCTCAGGTTGGCTTCTCCAGCCAGGTTGCAACCTAAGCCCTGCCAGTAGCAGCAGTCACTGGAAGAGGTTTTTTTTGGGACTGTAGCTGTAAGGGGAAGGTGGACAGTGTCCAGTAGGGAACGGGAGCTGGCAGCATCCCGGGGGGGAGCAGGGATGGAGGCTGGGACCAGTCTGCCAAGGTGGGGACCTGCAGGTGGGTGAGCAGAAGTGTCCCTCCGGCAGGTCTCTGCCACGGTCAGAGAGGGAAGTGTCCGTCCAGCTCTGCCCTGTGCAGGGCAGCAAGGTGAGGGCTGGCACTGGAGACTTCTTTGACAAATTCACAAAAAAACTATCGGCAATGCGAGATTGTTGCCAGGGCAGCCCTTTGAAATGGAGAGTCAGGTTAACCGACGGTTTGTCATCGGCAAAGAAAAATGAGGAGGTGGTGGTGGTGGTTTTAGAAAGCAGTTGCCGAGTGGTTAGGAAGAGCCTGTGTTCCTGCCTGCCCGGGCTTCGCGGCTGCGGCTCCCGTAACCACTCCCTTAATTGGGAATATAAAGAAAACAAGAGTATTTGATCTGTCGGCATGAGAGAGTAGATTCAGCTCAGAAAGCAGCAGCTGCCTGGTTGGGATCAGCAAACAGATGTTTTTCTTTGTGTGACTGAAGCTCCTGCCCCCTCAACGAGCTTAAAAGAACAACGAGCTGTATTTATACACTTGTATAGTAGGAAAAGCAGTTCCCTCACTTGGTTGCTGTTTGCAACAATTTAGTTCTTTCTAAATTGCTTAGTGTTTAGCCTGACCATTACGCTAATTTTGAAACATGCTATTGATACCATAGTCCTTCAAGATAATTTTGCCAGGATTGAAGAATCATTTCTGCAGGGCAGTGCTTCTCTTGGGGCATATTTATATCCCTTTTAGGACTGAACATTACTGAGTACTGTAATACATTGACTGGGAGTCTATGTTTTGTTTTGGCTGAAATTATTTTGTCAGGAAAATCTGTTCACAAAGAGCATTGGTTTAGGGAAGAAACAGGAGTTGAGAGGGGTGGGATTTCATCTACCTGGTGGGAATGAGTTTTCTTTGTGGTGTTTCCTAGGCGTAGAAAGCCACACTGACAGACCTCTCTCTGGTTCTCTTCCTTTTTTGTGAAGGATTTCACTATGACTCTGTACTTAAGGCACTACTGGAAGGATGAGCGTCTCTCATTTCCCAGCACCACCAACAAGAGCATGACCTTCGACGGCAGGCTGGTGAAGAAGATCTGGGTCCCTGACGTCTTCTTTGTGCACTCCAAAAGGTCCTTCATTCACGACACCACCACAGACAACATCATGCTGCGGGTGTTCCCCGACGGTCATGTCCTCTACAGCATGAGGTAACGGTGCTGCTCCTGAACACCCCTGGGGGCTTTGCTGTCAATTTTGCTCCCAGCAGGGCTTTGGTGACCACCAGGACTGCTACTGCCAACCCTCCTGCTCCCACCGCTGATGCACAGCCCTGTTTCCAGCATGTCCAGTACAAGGTGCTTCTCAGGAAGCTCCAAGAAACCATGCTGTGGGCAGTAATAGGGTAATCTCCTCCTGGGGGAAGCATTCCCCTAGTTCTTTGCAATCAGAGGAGGGCTTAGTCGAGCGGGAATGTTCATCCTGGGGTCAGTGTGTGATTAAACTGGAAGCTGCTGATATACCAGATGGTAACCTCTATAATTATCCTATTTTGCTTCCTGTTTGTCTAGGAAAACTTTTTTTTTTTCCCCCTGGTGTTTGCATGTTGATGTAAAGGCTTAAGTTTACTGAAGCTGAAATGGCAGCATTAAAGACACCCTGTAGTCCCTGATTTTCTAGCAGGTTTGTTGGCTGGAAGAATCCTGAGGAAAATCTGTCATGACCTAAAGAGTTACCCGGCCTGCGGGTGTACAGAGATCATGACTGTGGGTTTGCAGGATTCTGCAATACACAAGGACATGGAGGCTTTATTCTCTAAACTTCTCTACCTTATTAGAGATTCCAAAAATACCAGAAAAATCACCACTAGCAAGTAAACTATCACAAAATCACCACTGGCAAGTATACCTATGATTAATAAAGTGAATGTATATATCATGTTACTACAAATTACTGTCAGCAATCAATAATATAGCATCAATAAATCATATAGCAACAGCCAATAACAGCAATAACCAAGTAGGTATATTCTATTACAGGTTACTACAAATGTATCATTAGTGGAACAACATTAACAATATAACAGCAGATATGATAAATAGCTTATATGTATGTATAATACTGGTATCAAGTGATACCATCACCAAGTGAACCAAATCATCCCATGGGTGGGAGTACAAACAGAAACAACCCCAAAATTGGGCCCAGAGGGGGACCAAGGAGACAACAGACAGATCCTTACTTCAGAGATGCTCTACATCACAAAGTCTGGAGTCAGCCAGGCATCCCCAGTGAGAGTCCAAGAGCTGGTAGACAGTTCTTGCAGCGAATTCAACCTGTTTAGGAATGGAAAAGTACGTGCAGCATGGGAAGTTCTCAGAGAGAGAGGCTCCATTTTGGATAAAAATTAAGTCTTCCCTGTATCACAGAGACATAAGAGGGTGTAGGACACCACCACTTCGAGCAGCCAGTTGTGCTGTTGATTTCTGTTTTTCACCTGAAACAGCCAATAGATGATGAAGTTTTTTGTTCTTTCAGACCACTTTCTATTTTCCAGACTGTTTTCCACCTTTTCAGACCATAACTTGCCATTACAGGCCCTTGTTTTTGTGCTTATTGATGATATCTCGGGACGTCTCAGGTTTCTAGGTACCCAGCTTCACTTCGAAGAGGCCGGCTGCACTTCTCAAGGATGCTGCAGCTTCCCAGGCTGGCAGGCCTTTCTCTGTCAGTGTTTTTCAGCAGACATTTTCTTTTGCTCAGTAATTTTCCCCTTCTAACCAGGGCACCTTTAAGGCTACTCGCATCAGCATCCCAGCAGATTTAATTTCCTTCAGAAGAATGCAAAAAGAGATGCAGAGAAAAATACACCGCCAGAGGAGAAAAGCTTGAGAGGTCAGACAAAAGAACATTTCCCCAGGGCAGAAAACCTGCTCTCAGTGTACAATGACCTTTGTTTTGTAACACAAGGATTTCTGTTCTAGGATCTTTCTGGAACTTATTCACTTCAGCTATGGTAAAATAATTTTCAAAAACAAGGAAAGGTTTTTAATAAAGTTTGATTTGGGAGGCTATTTCTCTTTAAAGAATGAGCATAGTGGGCAATATTGTCCCAAGTAGGACAATATCCCACCAAAACAGGGGGCTCTAAATTTCACTGATTTCATAGTCCAAATATAATTCTACTGAATTTATTTTAAAAAACTCTGGACAAATTATTAAAATCACAAAGAAATATGTGTGTGTGTGTAAGAAAGAGAGTACGCACCGTATGGCCACTTCCTTTTGCCTGGTCTTAATGATGAAAATCCCGTCTTGATCAAACACTTGGGAACACTTTCCCTGTTCTGAACCCATTTAATAAAGCCATTTATTGCATGAAAGGTCTGATTACTCACACCTTAACTAAGCACCTAAAGACACTGTCTATTTTATTAGAACTGGATGAAGATGAAGGTGCCACGTAGCAGAGAGACGAGAAGGAGAAAGAAAAATGAAGAAGGAGGTTAGATGTAAGCTTGGGTCAGCACTGAGGGGAGAAGAGCAGGAGGAGGGTAGGGACCTTCTCTACAGATTGTAACTGAATATCAGTTTCCATTGCTCACGTCCCGCAGTTCTCGTGCGCTGAAGCCAGCATCACGCCACCAGTTAGCAATGCTCAACAGCCAAAATGAAGGAACAAATATTTTTAATGGAAAACATTAGCTCTGCTCAGGTCTGCTCATTTGCCTACATGCAGAGTTTTTACTTTCAATGTTTTCTGTGAACTGTCGAGGAGGTGATGTGACTTTCTAATGTTACCCCATGAGAGAGAAGGATGTGAGTAACCACAGCTGACTGCACAAGAGTTAAATGGATAATTTGATTCATAAAATCCAAGGAGAACAAGAATCTGTGTGATATTTGGGCCTGCTGGTGGTTAGGACACTCAGAACATGATCTGGCTGCCCAAGGATGGGTGTCCAGTGGCATTCGAAATGTCCTCCAAGATATCTCAAGATGTCTTGAGATATCTGCATGGAGTTGGCACTAGGCTTTAGTTGAGGAATATCTTATTGACAAGCTGAGTTTCTGTGCTGCCCCTGACTAACAAATTGTTAATGACCACAGGTTGTGCCACAGTTTAGGTAACCCCGAGGAAAGAAAGAGCACATTGTAATGAGACTCAGTTATGCAATGTTTAAATGCTACACACAACTATGGGAGGTCATTGCTATAATATACCTTCTAGAGCATATCCCCAAAAAGCTTCTTTAAGTTTAGCTCATACGGCAAAATTCTGCTCTAGTTTTATAGTAAAAATGAACAGTGTGTGCTTTTCAGGGGTGATGAACGTGTAGGTCGGAGTAGGATTTGGATCACAATCCCTTGAACAGAAGAAAAGTTCTTTATCAACATCTGCAATGAATCTAGAAAAAGGTCATGGCCAACATAAGTTGGCCTCTGAAATGATGACTCACAGCTGATTTGCCCCTACTAAACGGCGTGCTCCACTGCAAGTCTGTCCAGAAGAGAAAGTTCAGTGACCCACTGGAAGACTTGTTACGTAACGTTGTGCACAACTGGACTCACTTAAAAATAGGAGCTGTGATTGCTGCAGCTCTTTAGCTAAGACACGAACGTAACAGAGGCAAATCTCACTGCACCCCCTGCCCTAGAAATACACCCCCCATATTAAAAGAATTTGATCAAGGACTGAAAGAAACTGGTTTTGCCTTAATAATGTATATACTGGAGGAATTTTCTGGCTTGCAATAGGGTTGGTCATGTTCCACAGGCTTGGGTCATTGATGGAGTGACTATGGAGGGAACTGAGCAATGGGGAAAATGAGGAAACCTTAATCAAACTGGACATAAGGCAACCTTCAAATGTAAATGATGAAGTTATTTTATGTTGTTGTCTTGTAAAGAAATAGTTGGATATAAAACATGGTAGAAGTATCCATACTGACATCAGTATTACTGTAATGTTCAAGATAGTACTTTAGTTCCCTGATAGGTATTGAAATTACAGCTTCCTTTGGAGTGTCTGTGCATAATCCATCTCACTTGGACTTGGAGAATTGGTAGGCATTTTCCTGGGGATTTTATGCTAACATTATGCATAATTGCTGGCTTTAGAGCTGCAGAATGATTTCTCTCTGTCAACATTCTCTCTTCATTGCTCCTCATAGAAACCAACCTTTCTCATTTTCAACTTCTAGGATCACAGTGACAGCAATGTGTAACATGGACTTCAGCCGCTTCCCCCTGGACTCTCAGACGTGTTCTCTGGAGCTGGAAAGCTGTATGTTGTACCTGTGTTTCTAGCTAGACATGCTCCACGGCTGGCTGCACACACATGGACTGGACACATTTCAGATTACAGTCTGTTTTAGAGCCCAAAAAAAAAGTTCACCAGAGTTACTGGGAGTCTTTCTATTGACTTACTGTGTTGTAAATCTAGCCCTTATGCTGCAAGACAGGGGAATTTGCAAGGAAAGCATCCTTGTATGAATTTTAGTAGGTGGCACTTTCAAAAAAACACCAATAGAAATGTTCAACATACACCAGTTCTCAGCAGCTTGCTGATGAGAAATCTGGGGAAGAAGTTTTGCTCTGTTCATTGCTTCTGACAGGAAGGTGGTGCTTTCAAGTGTCACAGTAAAAAGTTGGGTATAGTGATCATTAATTTTCTCCAAATTTCATCACCAATGTGATTTACATATGATATAATCCTGATCCTGCAAACACTGTGACTTGGGCTCAGCTTCTTTGGGAAGGAGTTATTCTGCAGAGAAATTGATTTGAACAGTAAGATTTTCACGGCTGTTCTGTAAACTTTCTTCAGGGTATGCCAAGGCTAACATCTAGTAATTTTGAGGTCCTCCCAGATATTTAACTGAAATTTTCCTCTACAAACAACAGAATCGCAGAATCATAGAGTAATTTAGATTGGGAGGAGAGTTTTAAGTTGGTCTTGAGGTCAGCTGCTCCAACACCCTGCTCAGAGCAGGGGGCTTTAGAGTGGGTTCCTCAGGGCTGTGTCCAGTTGGGTTTTTAACATCTCCGAGGTAATGGTGGCTCCACAACTTTTCTGTGCAACCTGTTGAAATATTTGACAGCCCTCATCCTGAAAAAGTTTCCTTTTACCCGCTTGGAAAAAAATCCCTTGCTGCAGCTGGCATCCCTTTCCTCTTGTCCTTTCACTCTGCATCTCAAAGAAGAGTCTGAGAAAAGCCTGTCTCCGTCTTCCGTATGACCCTCAGCAGGGCAGCAGTTGGACCCCACCAGAGACTCCTCTTCTTCCAGCTGAACAAACCCAGCTTCCCCAGCCTCCCATCTTATGCCATGTGCTCCAGCCCCCTGGCCATCTTGATAACCCCATTCCTAAAAAAATACCGAGTGCGCTCACTAATTCTTTAAGTTTTTCATTTACAGTCTTCAAATATTTCTAGATTTTTGCTTCAAATCACACCTGTCGCTTTTGCTTTTATCATTCTAAGGTAGTCTGAGGTGTCTGTGTTTCCTCCTTCCTCTAAATTCAGGCATTTTACCCATGACTATTTCCTGAGTTATTCTTACCAGTTAGCAATTACTTGTCTATGATTTTTGATATGTGATGCTCAGAAAAGTACCATTCTAGCTGTCATTTCATTACTGTGGAGTAAAAAGAGGATGTGTTTCCCTGAATCAGGATGACCTGGATTTTTTTTGTTGTTGTTGTTGTCATGGTACATCATATGGCAAGATCTTTTTAACTCGCTGTTGTTAGCAAACTTATTTGTGGTCTTACTTCATGCCAAAGATGCCTTTGTGTTTGTTAATTTTGTCTGGATCTATTAACTTTTGCTTCCCCTCCAAGCTAAAGTCACATCACATCACGTTTCTCTGATGCTGTATTGGAAAAATGGGAATGAATCTCTGAAAACTGACGAAAAGATTTCCTTGTCTCAGTTTTTGATACAAAAATTCCACACTACATCGAGACTGGCTTTCTACAGTAGCACAGGTATGGCCTTTCCTGATCTAATGCTATTGCTAAAGCTAATGCTGTATTAACTACTTGTGAGAGAGCTCTTGGGATTATACGTCACTGAAATGTAGTCTCCACGGTCTGGACAATACATGTTTCGAAAGATCAGTTTCTCTTTTCAATACCCTTTAAAAATAAAAGCTCAAAAGAAAGATCTTGTCTCTCTGTGCCTACCATCCAGGCTGTTCTCACTGATTCTGGCTTTCCTCCTCTCTTAAAGGTTGGTACAATCGCCTCTACATAAACTTCACTTTACACCGACACATCTTCTTCTTCTTGCTCCAAACCTACTTCCCTGCCACCCTCATGGTCATGTTGTCCTGGGTGTCCTTCTGGATCGATCGCCGAGCAGTTCCTGCCAGAGTCTCTTTGGGTGAGAGCAACTGCAACAAGCCACGACTGTGTGAAAATCTTTGAATGTGGAAGTTTTGGCAGGAAAGGGAACCGTTCATTTTGATGGTTAAAGATATTGGGCAAGCAAATGTTTTTTATCTGATGATTAATATAATGTAAAACTTGCAGTTTGTCTTAAGTCCTTCATCACTAAGCAGTCCTCCTGATCTATACTTAGCTCAGGACAAAAAGGGCTGTGGTTTTAAACATAAAGTTGGGCAGAGAAGAGAGGTTTCAGTATTTATGAGTCAATGAATCAAGATTTTTCCCTGTTGTCCAGTCCTGCAGTTCTGAGACACACATTGTCATCAGTGAGGGTAGAATTTCACAGGAGTTTAGGCACCTACAGGGAGTTAAAGGCTTCTGTTACAATTTTCATGAGTGCCTTTCATGAGCAGGATCCTGCCATGTCCCAGCTGCCACAGCGGGTGTCCCAGCCCAGGTATGTGTCTTCCCAACCAGCCAGCACTGGTGCTGTGGCCAGTGGCTTTCTCCTGGAGGGTGCCAATGATGTGGCACATCTTCACAAAGCTGGGAAAGAAAAGCAGCAAGGGATCTAATCCTATCAGCACCTGCAGACTTAGGTGTCCCTCCATCTGGTGTCCCCCTGGGGACACTCAGGGCATCTCTGTAACATCAGGCCTCAGACAACAGCGGGGCAGTGAAGGGAACGTGGCTTTCCTCGCACGTCTGCAGTGTTGAGGATGAGAGGCCACCAGCCTCGAGGTGAGGCAGAGGTTGGGTTTCTCCTCTCCCAAGGGTGCCTCGCACTGAGGGTCCAATGTTTCTGGGGTGGGGAGGTGTCTCATTTGAGGGAGTGGGAAAGTGAAGAAGCAGCTGCTTGAAAATCCTGCACACACCAATCTGCCTCTCTGGACATCTAAAACCCATCAGGAGGAGCTTTGTCTACATCAGGACTGGAGGAAATTCTTTCAGCTGAGCATAAAAAGAGCCGATTTGTTTATCACTCCATGCATAGGTTAGAGGAAGGCAAAAATAGGAAAAATCTCTGAATGTTAGTATGTAAGGCTTCCAATACTAAAAGCATAAAACCGGTATTTTAGCCCCGCCAGTTTGTCTCACTTAGAGAGCTATGCAGTGCAGCAAACATATGAGAATTGGCAGTCGAGAGTCTGCTCCACTGAAAGAGATGTGTTCAGTGGATATTATTTTTTAAAAAATTAGATCCTGATGAAACGTGAACAACAGTGGCTGTGTTTACAGTGTCACTGTTTTGAAATGGCTGAAGTAGCTATGAGTGCTTTTTGGCTGTTTTCTCTACTTAAGTGGTTTTGGGAACTTGTAAATATTTTTCTCTCAATGACGATTCAAACAAAGTATATACTATTTTGCAGGATTTTATCTATATCTGTCTAAGTATATATATACACACATACACATGGGTCTATATATACATATTATAAACACACACACATGCACACATCTATATATATAATACAATGGTTGTTGTTCAAAGCTTTTTGATTCCCACAGCCTGAACTGTAGATAAATATTCTTAGAAGTAAAAACATAAAGCCTTCTTTTGCTTTGTTTTATGCAAAATATTTTATCATTATTGCACATCCCTTTTAAGATCAGTGGTTTAGATCAAATCCTCTTTAGCTGTGACCAAAAGTCAATACTAGGTTGCTTTCTGGCGGTGCCGGTAACACAGCCTGGTACAGCTAGGAAACAGGAGTCCTTGTCACCACTGTTCTTAGCAGACCCGACTCTAAGCACTGTGTTAAAACCCTAGAGGTTAACGAGGGAGTTAAGCACTGTTCCTAGCAAAACGATGGCTGCTCCGTTGCTCCTCAAAACTAAACCCATCATGTGCACAGAATTGCAGGCAGTGGAACAGTTCTGCATTGGCAGGAGAGATACTTATCACAAATTTATTTCATGTCTAACATCTTTTATAGCATCATGCAGAGCATAATTTCTGTTTTTCTTGAGACAGAAGCCTTATGGACTGTATCAGTCAATAATGTTTATTTCTCTTGGTTCTTTCCAGGGATAACCACCGTGCTGACCATGTCCACGATCATCACTGGGGTGAACGCCTCTATGCCTCGTGTTTCCTACATCAAAGCAGTGGACATTTACCTGTGGGTCAGTTTTGTGTTTGTCTTCCTCTCAGTGCTGGAATACGCAGCAGTGAATTACCTGACTACGGTGCAGGAGTGGAAGGAGAAGAAACGCCGGGAGAGGGTGAGAAAAACTTTTGCTTTGTTCATCCATTTATTCCTTTTTTTCTTATAGCTGATTTGGTTGTTATATTGGTTGGTTTGTGTCTATAATTGGGAAAACACTGACATCCATGGGTGTCTAATTGGATCCGTTTAGACTGCTCCACTTCAGGCTGAATTGCTAACACCAGAAAAACAGTAGTTGGTCTCATGGGTCTTCATAGAAACATCAGAGAAGAGGAGGGTGTGATCTGAACTGGGGAAGACTGCAACCTGGAACTGTGTGGGGATGACAAGAGGGGGAAGTATCAAACCTGATACTTCCCTGCAGCTGCCACAATTGCTGTATTTTTAACCTAAAGGTGTTAGAGCAAATCCATTTCCTCCCTCTACAGTCAGCTTTACTCTGGAAGCTGGATTCAATGGATGTAATAGTGGAGTTTTCCCCCATTACCAAACACAAACAACAGTCAGCCAAGTTTTTGCTTTTTAATGTGCTATGAAAGGTCTTGTCCTGAATCCTTGGAGTTTTTCAAGACCTGGCCAGATACAGCCCTGAGCAACCTGGCCCTGCTGTGAGCAGGAGATAGGACTAGAGTCCTCCTGAGGTCCCTTGCAGCCTGAATTATCCTACAGACCTGTGAGCCCTTCTTCTTTGTAATTAAACAAAACACTGTCACCTTTTGAACACTAAGGCTTGGGACCAAATTTTTTCAGTTCCCACACTCCCAGAACATCACCATGTTTTACAGCTTCTTTCTTCCCATTGGGATCTCCCCACATTAGTTCACAGGTAACATTGGTTACCTACTGCCTTTGACTCCTGGAGAAATTTGTATCAGCCTTTCAGAAATGCCAGTGCAGACATCATCTTTCATATGATTTGACCATGACATTTCCTTCTCTGAACTACTCTGTTGGCTTTGCATGTCCTTCGCTTCCCCTTGCACTTCTTCCTATGACTTCCTTAAAGTACAGAATAGACCACCTATCAGCCCAGTACCTTTCCTAGTTGACATCTCATAAAAAATTTAGTTAGATACATTTTTAAAAGCCATTGAAATAAATTCAACGGTGACAAAATTTTACCTCTCTCCAAGGCCTTCTCATCAATAGTGTGATTCTGGAAAGCTACTTGAACAGGTCCTGAGTATCTTGATTTATCTATACCCACATCCTAGTCCCCACCCAGGGCCCAGCGGTTCTCTGCAACACAAGGTAGAGATGCTCTGTGCAAGCACAGCGAGCCAAGTGTGTCTTACTTGCTGCGTGTGAGCAGTGGTCTGTGGCCTTTCAGCCAGCCCTGCTCAGACTTCCCATGTCCAAAGAAGAGGGCGTCTTGACAGTACACAGGAAATAACAAAAATCATCCTTGCTAGGTTCAACTTGCTTAGAATAAACCTGTTTGTTTTTTTTTTTTAAAGGCAAAAAACTCTCTCCTTTGTCTTTAACTGTATGAAATGAGTTTGAGAGGGATGAAATGAGTTTGAGAGGGTTTATTACTGTTCTGCTAAGTTTTCAGGAACGTTTTCCCACATCCAGTGATGGCATAGCTTGTTATTTATATAACAAATCTGCCCTTTATTGAGTCTTGTGCATTGAATTCTACATTCAGCAAAGGTCTTTTTACTACACAAGGTAAAATATTCTATTCAGTCTTCAGCATGTGACAATATTAATCCTCAGCAGTGGTAATGGGAACAAAGATAATAAGCAGCATTAGTTGAGGGGATTGTGGCAGACTGTAGGTGAATGCTGTTGAAGAAGCAGAAGAGACGTTTCTCATCGTAAATGTAGATCTTGTCAGCCAATGCTGCTCCCCTATGAAGGACCCAAAAAATCCTAATACGAATACGTTAGGCTGCCCAGAGAAGAGCTTTAAGTTATGTCTACATTAAGAAATTAAATGTGCTTGGGACCAAGGCTGAGGGGCATGGACAATCTAAAACTAAACCTTCTTTCCCTCAGAATCAGAGTGGTTGCTGTGAACTGCCTGTGGCAAATGGTCTGTGGCCCATGGTTATTCCCAAACCGTACCTGGGAACATTTTGATGCTTGTTGACCTGTACAAAATTCAGGCCAGAGACATTTCTGACACTCGAATAGTATTGTTGGCTGAGTTCCCGTGCCCAGGGAGGCTCTTTGGCAGTGTATAATTTATTAGTGTAGACATAGACTAAAATTGCTGCAGGGTGAAATTATGTAGCATACTTCTGCATGTATGTGCCTACGTGAAGATGGGTGTAATTTAAGACTCTGCAGAGGTGGGTTTCTAGTACGTTAGGCTCCCTTGTCCATAGGGGTGACTGTCATCACATGTACACGAAACCATGGGAACTGTAATTTGACCTGGGGGCTAAGAGTAAATCTGCAAAATTTCTTTCTCTGCTGGGTCCTGCAGCAATCAGCTTATTGCCATTAACCACTTTCCCTTCTACCCACCTACCACCTCCTGGACCTGTCATCAGTTGATGATAAAGAACCTGATGTAATTCTTCCCTGTGTTGTTTTGGTGTTGTTTTTTTTTTTTTTGAGGTACACTCGCTTAGTATAAAATATGTCTTAAAACCCCACTGATGTTCAGCTGCACCCATGGAGTGCTCCAATATATATATACTTAGTTATTTTAGCTGAAATTGTCCTTGAAAACTAGTCCTTGGAAAACCCACACATCGAAGTTAGTGGAGGAGGGACTTGAGGGCAAAGTATTATTGGGTAAGGAAAGCAGTCTGTGGGGAATCGGAGGCAGGAACTCCTAACAGAAAGGAGGTTTTGAAGTCCATTTTTGTTGCATACAAATATATAATCCATATTGCTGGGACAGAAAACCTGCAGATTTTAAACAGTAGAAGACAGTATTTGCTATTCAAAATTCTACCTGTATTCATTTTTCAGACTTGTGAGATGCATGCTGGTGCTGCTGAAGTCAATGCAAGTTTTGACATTAACTTCAACAGAGCTGGGATTTTACATTAGGCTTTTAACCGGTCCTCTCCTTGGTTTAAAATCAGATTTACAAAGAAAACGTGTATTTGTGAAACCAGAACTTGGCCCTTTTTTTGCATAACATGTACTGGATAAGCCATTTCCACAGATAAAACTGCATCTTGTCCTTGAATATTTATAAACACAAGGACTGCAAAATAAGGAATCTTAAGACAGCAAGGCTGAACAGAGCTAGCTAAGAAAACCTTTTGGTTAGTTTTTATGTCTGCTAAAGCATTTTTCTAATCTTTTTTGAAGCTGCTTGTCCAAGCAGTGTAGCTAAACCATGTCTCTTCTTTTGGAACACAAGCAAAAAAAAGTTACTTTTTTGTTCAAAGAGAAACTTACAGTATCTCAACTAAAATTTCAAGCTCAACAGTTTTCAAGCTGTCTGTTAATAGAAAGGCATCATTTCTGTTGCTAATGTGTTCTTCCAGTATCAGCTATATTTCTTGTTTTTGTTCCTAGTTTCCATGTATGTGTGGAATACCTCATTCGAAAACTATGGTGCTGGATGGAAACTACAGTGAATCTGACGCCAACAGCCTGGCAGGGTATACAAGAAACCAGATGGTCGCAGAGGAAGAAAAACAAGAAAAGATGGTTGTGCACTTAGCTATGATCAATGAATCTAATTCATCAAGGAAGAGAGGCCTGAAGGGCCATGTGGGCTTGCGCATCATCCAGAACACTCATGCAATTGATAAATACTCAAGATTAATATTTCCAGGCACCTATATATTTTTTAATTTGATATATTGGTCTGTCTTTAGCTAAGCATGCTGGCACAGCAGTGACTGAAGCAGAAGACCTTTACAAAACTCTCTTTTGTTGTTTCTTTTTCAGTCTAATCTGGATGCAAAACCAGAAAATTGATTATTTATTGCTTCTTTGGAAAAGCGGGGGACACATCCTCCAGTGGGCCACTCCATGCACAGGCATCATGCAGGAACCTGCTGTGCTGGTTGCTTTCCAACCCACACCCCAGCTCCCGTTTGCTTTATGACATATGTAATTTCTCATACTTGAAAATACGTGCTCACCATTCATCCGAAAGGTGCTGTATGTTCATTTGGGGCCGGCCACGTTGGTGGTGCCTGCTGTGCAATGGACAACCAGAGACAGTGCTCAAGTGGGCTGTCAGGGATTAGACAAATGCAGCTGGCAAGAGGAGGTCTGGACAGTGCATCTCCTGTAAGGGAACTGAACGAGGCCTTTCCTTTTCAAAATCTCTGCTTTTGAGCAAATCCTTTTATTTTTCTTTTGCATATGAACATCATATTTCTTTCCATTGGTTTATGAAGAAGACCTAATTTTAGGGTCCAAATTCTGCTTTCTCTGGATGGGACCTTCATCGATACCATCAGGACAGTTGACTGGCCAGGGTCAACAGGGTTGGTCACAGAGTGCAGGTGGTATGTTTGAGTTGGTGGTCATTTTTTTTCCAGATTAGAAGAGTGATGATGAAGCAGAGCAAAGAAGCCCACAGACTTACAGAAGATGGCTCCCAGGCTACAGGGGTAATGAAAACAGGGAGGGTTAGGCATGTGTTCTCCGTATAACTTGAGCACAGCACATGATATGTAGCACCTGCCCTCTAAAATGAGAAGGGAAGCTGATGTGTAGCATGTACAGTCAGCACACGGTGAATGGGCAGTGTCTCTGGGATCATCTTTCTCTCTCCAGAAACAGAGAACAGTGTTGAAGGCAGCACTGGTGGCTTTCAAGGATTTTCCTCACTCCTGTGAAGAAAGTACAGCCCACAGAGAAACTGTATATCCCACTGTGCCTCTTCCAATCAACACATTGTCTTTCTGTTTAGGCATTTTGGATCAAGAGGGAGAGATGTCTGCCAGAACCTCTCTCTGCAGAAACATAGGCATGTCAGAGATTAAATGGCTGTGGGATTCAATGAGACCCTGTCTCGCCTCTGGTTCCAAGGTTGATGTAAGTCCTTTGAAGCTGCTGGAGAGCACTGTAACAAGCTTCTATGCTTGGCATTTCATTTTTCATGCCATGGTATCTCCCTTTCCTTTGCTAACAATGCTGACAGCAAAACCCAAATGTAGAAACATGATAGCAACAAGACAATGATGTCCAGGTTTGTGTGCTCCTTATTTTTAGAAAACGCCATGACTTTTTGTCTGTGGTGGAGATTACGTTCATCAAAACATTTGGTTACCAAGCTGAAACTCAGCAGGGCAGAGCTTGAAGCATGAAGACCTGGGACTGAGGTTAGAAGCTGACTCAATGATAAAATTAACTTATACATCTGACTGGGGTTGGGCCATGAGGATACAGATAAATCACATGAATAATGGAAAAGCAAACAAAAATACTAATAAAACCATAACTATTTGTTGGCATGTGAAATTTTCTGCTTACCATAGCAGTAATTCTTATGTCCTAAATCTCAAGGGGTGTAGAAGACGGCAGGGAAGTGTCAACTCCGGGCTGTCAACAATACCCAGGTATTCCCTTGTGCCTCAAATATTGCTGCCTAAGTCACACTGATGGTTACACTGATTTACTGGAAACAAAATTGATGAGAGAAACTAAAATTAACAACTGTGTTCCCCTTTCATCAGCCATGTTAATAACTGACATGAATGGGGTTCTGTCTAGTCATAAAAGTAAGAAAATACAGCCCTGAAATCCCTGGCAAGAAGCGGAGCCATGGGAGGACAGTATCTGAAAGGAAGGATTGCCCCGTATCCCAGCCTGCCACTTCTCTCCTGAGCCACCAGGTCAATGCATCTACCACACATCGCTCTTCTTGGAGCTGAAACCTGGATACTTCTCACATCGACAGGTGGAGATCACTACAATAAAGATGCAAAAAATATTGAAGAAATAGCCCATTCATCTTTTGAGAGGTTAAAGCCTGGACATAACAGTGTGCATCCTTCAGCATTAGCAGTTTTGAGTGTAAACCAGGAACCAACGCTGCAGCTGCGCAGCGACAGCGCAGCGAAAGGACCTTTGCTGGGGGAAGGCAGCAGAACTGCACCACGAAGTCACCAGTGCGGGTAGTGAGAAATTCGGTTCCTGTGCCCCCCGTTTTGCCAGTCTTTCTGCGTTACCCATGGTACGTGACATTTAACCTCTCAGTGCCTCGTCTCCTCCATCTGGAAAGTGGGGAGCAATAACATCTACCTACCTCATGAGGTGCCAAGGGGCTTAACTTGCTTAACTAGCACGTGTGTGGGGCATGGGTGTGATTTCTGAGCAAGTCACCCAGTAGGAGTCCAAAGGTTTTTGTCTTAGTTACCAGCAAGTTCTTCAAATGTGTCCTCTGAATCAGTCCAGCTGGAAGAAAGCAGTTATCTCCCCCTCCTTATAATGATACTAAGCCAGATAACTCCCCCGCATTATAACGATCTTAAACCAGAGATAAATGTAGCCCAACAGCCAAAAAGTGAGCACTGTCAATGAATAATGCCTCCTGGCATACAAAAAAAGAGAAGTCTTAGTGCTTTAATTTGCCATTTGTTTTTATTACATCTCCTGTTCCCTTAGAAGTTATGTGGTGACAAAGACAGTCCTTTAGATCCTATCGTCTTTGTACTAGCACTGCCTGTAGTTTAAATGCTAGCTAATAAACATCTCTTGGACAGACTACCTTACTGTTTTTTCATATGCATGTGTACATAACTGATAAAGATTGATGTCTGTTTCTACCAGACATAATTATACAGCCTATAAAACCATCAAGGAGGGCATTTTTCCATTAAAGGAAAAAGAAAATCTCTATCTTTGGCACCACTTACACTTACTATCCATTAAAACAATAGATGAAAAGTATAGATGCAAATAAAACCAAGACATCTCCTTCAGGCAGCGTATGAATTGTATTTTTCTGCTTATTAAGAGGAGAGTGACTAGGCATGAAGCTAGAACAAATATTTGACGTATGGTATTAAGAACGTGTTTCACCTTTCATCTTCCCTGGATTACAAGAGACTCCATGAGCACTGTCTAACTTCTCGTTGCAAGATCCAACCAATGTTTTGAGAAATAGTGCCTGAAGCTAGGCTGTGAATACTGTTTGATGGATACAACCCAATTCTGTGAAGCACTGAGCATCTGGACAATTAACCTACCGAAGGACAGGATTTTCAGAAGTGCACAAGGGATTTGGGCAAATGTAGCCCATTGATGAATACACCTTCTCTGAATAACCTCGTCCAATTGCAAGGAGAGAAAATGTCGGTCCCGCTCATTCTGCGTCTGGCTCTGTTGTGCTTCTACTTACTACTAACCAAATAATGTCTTTGAAAGAAAGTAACTATATATAGATATGTACACATATGTATAATGTATATATGTATAAATTAACATTTATTATGCCCAGAAAACTTACTATGTTGAATTGAAAAAATTGAAAAGAGGCTCTTATTGCCAGCCAAGAGCCGAGAAATGAGGTATTGGCAAAAATCATGGGTTCTCTCACATTTTCCTTCTGAAAAAGGAAGTGTTGAGAAGTTTGCAAGAAAGGTTGATGCTAAACTGGTTGTACAATGGGTACAATCCACTGTGCTGATCGCTGTAATTAAACCTGGTAATAAAATAACAGATGGAAAGGGTGAAAAAGAGTCCATTTCATGGTATGAACTTTAAAATGTGATTTTAATTCTGTTTGGAGATCTGTTACTTGTGAGCTAATGCCCAGGGGTAAAGGATTTGAATAAACACCTCTTTTGTAATTGATTTTAAAGAAAAAGCATCTCAAAAGGTGGAAAAAATGTCGTGGAAGCATGCAAGTACTTTGAAGTATGCAAAGCTCCTTGGGAAAGCTGAGCCGTTAATTACAGCTATAAGCTACAGAGACCTTTTGTGAAAACTGCAGCCCACAACTGAGGAAATTTTAATACTTACTTTACATTTAAGGGCACATTTTCAAAAGCCCAAATGGCAGGTATATATCTCAATCTCCCTTTGACTAAAATGAGAACTTGTCATTTAATTCCTCCTTTGTGCCTTTGAAAAGATTGTCTCCACACTTACCAATGGAAGATAAAACCACTCTGAGATTCCGGCTGCCCGATCTCAGCTATTGTTCCTAATGCAGACAATGGGACTAAAGTAAATGCACACAGGCGAGGCTGATACCCGGACCACTGAATAATGGCTGTTGTCTGTCAAATTTCCACAGTGGAGAGATTACAACAAGGTACAGTCTAATTAAGTGAGATGCTGCCCTGCTGAAATTTAAAGAACAGTAAAATATATTTAAAAAACAGCAAGACTTTAGCACTATTAAAATTAAAATGTAATCCAGTCTCATACTAAGCTGATTAATTCCTTTGCAAAAATGACATTTGAAATAATGTATCAGGGTCATTACTTTCCTGGTCAGAGGAATTACCATTTCAGATGAAGCGAGAAGGGTGGGGAGGGAAATCGTGCACGAGGAGCGGGCAAGGCGCCGCTCTTGGTGTCCGGCTCTTATGGCGGTGCAGGGGCGACTGCTACGCTGAGCAGAGCCTGCTGCGGAGGTGAGGATCGGAGGACCCAGCTTTCCCAAGGCACTCGGTGCCTGGGCATCACACGTCAGCATGTGGCACTCCTTGATTTGGGCAAGAAAAAGATACCCTTTGTTGTGGTTGGATCCAGAAGTGGTTGGATCCCCACCAGCCGTGGGGCAGTCGTGAGGGGTGGTGTGATGCAGGTGATATAGCTGTTTTGGCTAGAGGTTTGGGTTCAATTCTGGCCATGTGTGTCATTAGCTGATCCTTAGCCAGGGTTTCACGCAAAAGCCACATGCCTGTGGCAGC